CCATCAACCCCGAACTTTCCAGATCAGCTTGATGGAAGGGAGGTCTCCTCAACTGGTACTGCTGACAACTTGGGCCAAACGATTCCTGGTGGTACAGACTGTCCTGTGCGTAGTGGGACAGTTAGCAGCACCCCTGATCTCTACTCACGAGATGCCGTTAGCACCCCTGACTTAGCTATGACAACTAAAAATGTCTTCAGATATTGACAAATGTCCCCTAGCAAGAGAATCGGACCAACTGAGAGGAAATGTTTTAGTCTTTTCAACATTCCCCAGCAAAAGCCTGTTTCCTTAACCAAGTGCAACCTTCTCTGGATTTACTGAGGGTCTCACACCAAACTACTGTCTTCTGTCCATGTTCTGTTCATGCGCCACAAAGGCTTTCTTTAACCAACTCTTCCTCCTCCCTTGTACTGTCATTCCTGCCCTCTTCTTACAGGACACTTTGTAGGAAGCTTAGCTTTCTGACCCACCTCTAGGTTCTCTCTCCCCATCTCTTATCTCTTCCTACCACAAACACACATCACCCTCCTCTTTATAAGTCTTTAGGAACTTACTAGGATTTATCCTAGTAAGGTGGTGGGAAGGGGAGAGACAAAGGAGAGTGAGATGCTATCAGACCCTCCCCACTATGGCAGAAAGGGGACCATCAGCGAAGAGCCCCTCCCATGGCCAGAAATGCATAGTTAAGAGGTGCAGGGTGGAAGCCAGGGCGGTTGAGAGCTGCAGTGCAGAGCAGAAGATGGGGAAGAATGATGACGTGGGACTGCAGGAAGGAAGAGCCTGGACTTGCAGTTCCAGCATCAGAGGTTCTGCACAGGCAGGACAGAACTGTGGAGCTGCTTTAACCATGTTAATGAACCCAAACAATACCCCTTGTAGGCTAGAACCACGTGGACCTGCAGACTGTGGCAACAAAGTTCGCACAGCCTCTGTCCTCTCCAAGGACAGGCCTGGGGCAGGAATACACCCACAGGAATCGTTAAGGGGCACAGGTAATGTTTGGGGGTTTCACAGACAGGGTCACCCCCCCACCTACTCAAGGAGAGACGTTCTTCAATCGTTTGTTGTAAGTTGACCTTGGTTTTATCTCCCTGCTAAATTGCAAACTTTGAGGCCAAGTACAGTGTTGTGATCTTCTTTTGAAAGCCCCCGGACATGGTGCCAAGGTCGAAGGAAGGAATAAATACTTGTTGGTATGGGGTGAATAAGCTAGCTAGGAAGATATAAGAGTTAAAGTTTTTAAAGCTTTCACTTATTTTATTTCAAAACAGCCCTGCCAGATCCAACCTCAAAATTTTTTTAGATGGACATTCTGAAAGTCTAAATTATTCACATAAAGCTGAAGAAGTTAAAGAAGAAAAGGGGAGGGGGCTGAACTCTGATTTATCTAGTCTGAGAGCTTTTATCTTTTTACCACTGTCTATACCATTTCAATGGAGGATAGCAAAGGTTCAGTAAAAGAAGATTTTACTACATTTAGATAAAGTCCTCAGACTAAAGACTGGTCCCAAAGAGAAAGGCTAATGGCCCCTCTCAGTAGAGGACAACAGAGTTTGCTACCTGGGGGTAAGCCCACCTGCCATCAACCTGTGTAACCTGCCAACTTAGAGCAGAAAGTCAATATACAATGGGACATCCATATATGAGTGGGGTGAGGGAGGACACCAGGAGCCCTTTGTATTACTGGAAGGCAGAATAATAGCTCCTCCACAAAGATGCCCACACTAATCCCTAAAATCTGTGACTAGGTATGGTCACATGGTAATGAGACTCTGCAGGTGTGATTATAAACCCAGAGGTGGGAAGACTACCCAGGTGGGTCTGATCTAATCATGAACCTTTTAAAAAAAATTTTACTTTTGAATTATCATACATTAGTAACACAAGGGGATTTCACTGTGATAACTCCACACATGCATACAGATACCTTCTAATCATGGATCCTGAAAGATGCCAACTTTTCTTAGCTGTAGAAAAGAGAGAGACAGAGAGAAGGAAAGAGGAAGAAAGATAAGCAGCCACGAAAAGGACTCAGCCAACAAACCATGGAAACAGGGAACGTGTGTGGTTTGTAGAGGTTGGGAACAGCCCTCAGGTGACATCGAGAGAACAAGGGCCAAAGTCCTACAGCTGCAAGTAACTGAATCCTGCTAACAAGAATGAGCAGATAATAGATTTCCACTAACGCCTCCAGAATGGTGGTAGCCCTGTGGACACCTTCATTTTAGCCTGGCAAGACCCCTGTCAGCTTCTGACCTACACATTGTAAGGAAATAAATTTGTTGTTTTAAACTGACACATTTATGGCAATATGTTACATCAGCAATAGAAATCTAATACAACACTTCTGGCAAGATTCAAGTAATTTTTTTCTAAAATCTATTAAAGATATAAACAGGCATGGAGCAGAGATGGGACACAAGGTGAGAAAACAGTGACTTTTGTAACAGCAGGGGTTTGTTCCAATTTGTACATCCTGGCAGGTACTGTGTCCCCTGCAAAGGGCCTCTGTGGTAATAAGAAAACCATGGTGTCTACTTGATGAGTTATAATACAATTACACACACCACAAAAGAAAGGCATAATTAACTGAAGTGAACTGCAAATTGGATGCACAAAATCCTGTGTTTTTCCCTCAAAAGACAGGAAAAAGACCTTCATTCCAGGAAACAGGACCAAGATCTTAATCAAAGGATTTATTGGGCAATTTAGCTCTCAGGTTTAACATCATTGTCATGAAAAGAGAAAAAAGAAAGAAAGAAAGAAAAAAAAACTTTTGAAAAGGCTCTGCCTTTGAAATAGGTTTTTCCTCCTAATTGACTTACTTTTTCTTGCCTATAGAAAATGTGTAATAAGAACTCAAGCCTTTTCTTTAAAGACAGAAGAGTGTGAGAAATACCTGCAAGAGACACACCCCAATAAAAAGTTTCAAAATGTAGCTTCATATTTTATCATCAACTAAGATTGCCCATTTGTAACCTGCATAGCATTTATTTTATAAATGTTTATTGCACAACTACCGGAAGCCTGGCAGTGTCCTTGGCTCAAGGAAGACAAAAGAGTCCTTGGAAAACCTACACGCCAATGTTGAGTATTTAACAGTGAAAACACACAAGGCAGTAGCAATGTGGCTACCTGTATAGTGGCTATCCTATGGGTAGTCAGTAACTTGCTGGTCAGCTGTCAGATTTCTGACACGGGAACAAAGGAATAAGTGTACATCCTGCTGGCAAATGCACAATGCAGGAGAGATGGCCATTTTTACATAAACGTTATGTATAAAAATTACCTTTTCTGAGGAACATGTGGAAAACATTGCAATCTAAAACTTAGGGTAAGAGTGCTCAGCAGTCAGACGACTATGGCAGGATTGGGTTTCTCTATACACGGCTGTCTGAAAACATTTGGCAACCATCAGGTCAATCTGGCAAAAACGACACTTTCACAGTGCAAAAGAAAGCAATAAACATACTTTATTTTTCAAGCTGAGGAAAATGAAGAATTAAGCCCACAAATATCTAGTTCCACGTCTCCCCCCCATCTTCTTTCCCAACAGGCACAATGTTGGGACCTAACGCCAAGTGTCTCAAGCTTCAGTTAGCACTCACTGAACATTTTCAAAGGCTGGTGTTATTATCAATCAGAATCCCAAAAACATTACCAATGTTAAATATAATTCCTAAGGAACAAAAATTATTTAATGATCATGGATTTTAAAAGTATTAATATTTTAAATTTTTAATTATTTTATTTATTTATTTGGGGTTTCAACTCAGGGCTTCATGTTTGCAAAGAAGGCACTCTAGCACTTGAGCCACACCTCCAGTCCATTTTGCTTTGGAAATGGGGTCTCATGAACTAGTTGCATGCACTGACCTTGAACTGCACTCCTCCCCATCTCAGCCTACAGGCATGAGCCACCAGTGCCTGGCTAAATTTATTTTTTATTAGCATAAATTAATTTACAGAAAGGTTTCACTGTGATGTTTACTTGCATGCATACAATGTACTTTGATCAAATTCACCCCTTCTATTACTTTGTCTTAACCCTTCACCCTCCCCCCATTTATTAATACTTTCTTTAAAAATTTGAACTTGACAAAGAAAGAAAAACATACATAAGCAGTTGTCCCTGGTTTCCTATTAAGGCCTGCAGACAAGCAGATAGTTTAATATAGTATGTGTTCTTTAAATTCAAAAAGTCACTATGGAAATTATTTTTTACTATTACTTTATAATATAGGTATAGTCACATTTCAGAAGAATAGGGAGAAAGATGTGTGAAAATGCATTTTGTATTTTTCCATTCAAAACAGCAAATAGGAATCCCACATCTTGAAAAAGATGAATTTCCTTGAATGCAAAATATGACCCAGAAAGGACTCCAGAGCAAAAAAAAAAAAAAAGCAGCAAAAATACATACACACACACCACACCACACACGACACAGAGACAAACGAAAAGAAAAAGAAAGAAGCTTCGGCTCAGGTACTCATGCAAGTTGATGTTTCCCAGTCCTTAATTAAGGAAATCAAACAATTCCATGTGACTTCTTTGTGTAACAGAACACTTACACAGGAGACAAGGGAGCGGATTCACAAGAAGCAAGGCGGCAAATTACCTAATGTGCAGAAGATCCTTCGACAGAAAGTCAATCCCCTCTAATAAAATCTGGGCAGTCAACATGAGACGGTGGTTTACTGGATCAAGTTTCTAATTTGGCAAAACCCTTGAAAACACAGTTTTACTTAGATTTATTAGAGGTGCTCAAAAGGCAGGAAGTGCTCTTGGAAAGTGAAAATAAACATTCACTCAAACTTGAGCCATTCCATTTCTTCTTTTTCTTTCGTGTGTGTGTGTGTGTGTGTGTGTGTGTGTGTGTGTGTGTGTTGGGAATAGATCCCAGGCCTCCTGCATACTGGGCAAGTGCTCAACCATGGAGCTACATCCCCAGCCACAAGGAATTTCTTCCTAAGGAAATTGCAATTGGAACTTACATATATCTGATTTCTCTTATATCGCTGGAATAAGTTATACATGATGGAGCCTCCATGGAGCTCTGTCAGGGAGGCCATGTCGTCCACACCCTCCTCATTTAGGGGGTGCATAGCAGTCACCTTCTGGTGGGTAATCGTGCTCTGCTTGTAAGTGAACACCTGGGGGAGGAAAAAGAATTCAGTTGTTTAGTCAACAGTAAATAATGTTCACAGAAGTTTCCTGAATGAGCAATACAATCTCGGTACAACTTCAGCACAAAGTTCCTAAATAAAAAAGACACACTTGCAATTGTCTATAACTGGGGTTAAAGAGAAGAAGATCACAGGGGCAAAAGGGAACTTTCATGGGGCCATTAAAATATTCTGTATGTTTACTACAGTGGTAGCTACATGATTCTAGGTATTTGCCAAAATGCAAATTATATTCTTAAAAGTGATACACTTGGTAGTATAGTGAAATTGGATATAATTGCTGTGTAAATCTGTGTGTATATATATAAATATAACAGAAAATGTCATTTCAACTTAATCATGTCAAACTTTTTCCTAACTGCTAGCGCACACCATGACTGTTCCCTCTACCTGAAATCCTTTCTCCCACCACTTCGTCCCAAACTCAGGAAAATAATCTAAGTTCCTCAAAGAAGTCTCCCTGACACCTGGTCTATGTGCTCCCCTTGCTTTATCTTAGAACATTATCACATCAAAAATTACATTGGTAGCAGATAAAACTAAAGACAGGGGAAATTCAGGAATATGCCTTTATAGAGAAATAGTGAGTCCTGAGTTAACAGTGAGCTATAAACTCTATTTAGTGACTTTGTTGGCCAGCTCCTCTAATGTCTGTTGATTTTTCTACCAGTTCCCTTATCTCATGGGAAAATGAGTCCAATTCAACTCAGTGAGACTTTACTGAGTACATATTATATTTTTGGTAAAACAATAATTTCCTGCCTGTAAAATTATTCTCAAAGTCATGACAGTCATTCCATTTGGTTCTCAGCATGGCATCATCACTGGCTACCTGCTGGCTGCCAACCTCTCCAAAGAACTATGGGCCTTAGTTGAGCTTGATGTGTCCACAGGGAATGGACAATGTACAGCTGTATATCTTAAGTCATATTAGTGAACCATAAAATGAATTAATGGAAAATAATAACACAATGTATTAATTACAAGGGACACAGCCATGTTTAACATTGGTAGCACCTAGCAAGCCAAAGGGATATGTAACATATCCAATAAAATAATAACAGAAAATTTCCCAAATCTTGAGAAAGTTTTGCCCACTCAGGTACAGGAAGCCTCCAGAACACCAAACACACTTGACCAAAATAGAACCTCCCCACGGCATATTATCATTAAAACAACAAGCATAGAGAATAGAGAAAGAATATTGAAGGCTGTAAGAGTGAAAAAAACAAGTAACGTATAAAGGTAAACCCATCAAAATAACAGCAGATTTCTCAATGGAGACCTTAAAAGCAAGAAGGGCACGGAGGGAGGTATTTCAGGCACTGAATGAAAATAATTTTAGCCCTAGGATACTCTACCCAGCAAAACTATCATTGCAAATTGATGGAGCAATAAAAATCTTGCACAATAAACAGAAACTAAAACAATATATGACCACTAAGCCACCACTGTATTAGATTCTACAAAGAATTCTGCACACAGAAGATGAAAGCAAATGAAACCATGAGAGGACAGGAAGCATCAAACCACAGGAGAAGAAGACAAGTAATCAGAGAGTAGCACTGATTCAGCTGCACACAATCAAATCCTTAAACAACAAAAACAACTAAGTGGCAGCAATCACCACATACCTATCAGTATTAACCCTGAATATCAATGGACTCAACTCCCCTATCAAAAGACACCTTTTAGCAAACTGGATTAAAAAGGAAGATCCAACAATCTGTTGTTTACAAGAGACCCATCTTATTGAAAGAAATAAACACTGGCTTAGGGTGAAAGGCTAGAAGAACATTTACCAAGCCAATGGCCCCTGAAAACAGGCAGTAATAGCAATACTTATATCAGACAAAGTAGACTTCAAACTTACATTGGTCAAACAAAGGACATTTTACACTAACAAAAGAGGCAATACATCAAAAGGAAAAAATAATTATCAATCTATATGCACCCAATGTCAGTGCACCCAATTTCATCAAACATACACTGAAGGACTTAAAAGCACATATAGACTCCAACACAGTGGAAGTGGGAGACTTTAATATCCCTTTATCACCAATAAAGAGGTCACCCAAACAAAAAATCAATGAAGAAATCCTAGAACTAAGTGACACCACAGATCAAATGGGCCTAACTGATGTCTACAGAATATTTCATCCAACAACAGCACAATATACATTCTTCTCAGCAGCCCATGGAATTTTCTCCAAAATAGATCATATCTTAGGGAACAAAGCAAGCCTCAGCAGATATAAGAAAACAAATAATCCCATGTATTCTATCTGGTCACAATGCATTAAAACTAGAACTCAACAACAAAAACAACAGCAGAAAACACGCAAATAATTGGAGGCCTGAATAACGCATTGCTCAAATATCAGTGGATCATAGAAGAAATAAAAGGAAATCATAAGGTTCCTGGAAGCTAATGAAAATGAAAATATCATCTACCAGAACCTATGGGACACAGCAAAGGCAATCCTAAGAGGAAAGTTTATACCCATGAGTGCCTATATTAAAAGGACAGAAAGATCTCAAATAAATGACCTAATACTACATCTCAAACTCCTAGAAAAAGCTGGTTCTGTGAAAAAATAGACAAGATTGACAAGCCCCTGGCAAATCTGACTAAAATGAAGAGGGAAAAGACCCAAATTAGTAAAATCAAAAACAAAAAAAGGAGAGATAACAACAAATACTAAGGAAATCCATAGAATCATCACAGACTACTTTGAGAAACTATTTCCAATAAATTGGAAAATCTTGAAGAAACGGACAAATTTCTAGATACTTATGACCATCCAAAACTGAACCAAGAGGATATTAACCACCTACACATAACTACAACACGTAATGAAATTAAAGCAGCAATATAGTCTCTGGAAAAAAAAAAAAGGCCAGCACCTGATGGATTCTCAGCTGAATTCTACCAGACCTTCAAAGAAGAACGAATATCAACACTCCTTAAACTTTTCCATGAAATAGAAAGGGAAGGAACACTGCCTAACTCATTCTATGAAGCCAGCATTACACTCATCCCAAAACCAGACAAGGACACATCGAAAAAAGAACTAAAGGCAATCTCCTTAATGAACATCAGTGCAAAAATCCTCAATAAAATAATGGCAAAATGAATCCAACAACGTATCAGAAAGATCATTCACCATGACCGAGCAGGCTTCATCCCAGGGATGCAGGGGTGGTTCAACATATGCAAATCTATAAATGTAATACAGCACATTAATAGGAGCAAAGACAAAAACCACTTGATCATCTCAATAGATGCAGAAAAAGCCTCTGATAAGATTCAACACTACTTCATGATAAAAGCTCTAATAAAACTAGGAATAGAAGGAATGTACCTCAACATTATAAAGGCTATATATGACAAACCTATAGCCAACAACATACTTAATGGGGAAAAACTGAAACCATTTCCCCTAAAGTCAGGAATGAGACAAGAGTGCTCACTTCCCCACTCCTATTCAACATAGTCCTGGAATTCCTAACCAGAGCAATAAGGTAAGAAGAAGAAATAAAAAGGAATACAAAAAGGTAAAGAAATAGACAAAGTATCTCTATTTGCAGATAACATGATCCTATACCTCAAAGACCCCAAAAAATCCACCCAAAAACTCCTAGATACCATAAGCAGCTTCAGCAATGTAGCAGGATACAAAATTAACATACAAAAAGCAGTGGCCTTTCTGTAGAGAAAGAATATAAAAAAACAATTCCATTGACAATAGCCTCAAAAAAATCAAATACCTAGGAATAAACTTAACAAAGGATGTGAATGATCTCTACAAGGACAACTACAAACCACTGGAGAAAGAGATCAAGGAAGACTACAGAAGATGGAAAGATCTCCCATGCTCGTGGATTGGTAGAATCAACATAGTAAAAATGGTTACACTACAAAAAGCAATCTACATGTTCAACAAAATTCCCATCAAAATCCCAATGACATTCATTACAGACATTGAAAAATCTACCCTAAAGTTCATTTAGAAACACAAAAGACCATGAATAGCCAAGGCAATAATGAGCAAAAAAGAGCAATGCTGGAGGTATCACAATACCTGACTTCAAACTATATTATAAAGCAATAACAATAAAAACAGCATGGTACTGGTACAAAAACAGACATGAAGACCAGTGGAACAGAACAGAGGACTCAGATATGAATCCACACAGCTATGTCCACCTTATTTTTGACAGGGGCACCAAAAACACACAATGGAGAAAAAGACAGCCTCTTCAACAAATGCTGCTGGGAAAAGTGATTATCTGCCTGTACAAAACTGAAACTAGATCCATGTCTATCACCCTGTCCTAGTATCAACTCAAAGTGGATTAGGACCTTAATATCAGACTTGAAACCTTGCAGTTAGTACATGAAAGGACAGGGAATCACTCTGGAACAATAGGCGAGGACTTCCTCAATAGAACTCCAGCAGCCCAGCAACTTAGAGAAAGGATGGACAAATGGGACTGCATGAAATTAAACAGCTTCTGCACAACAAAAGAAATGACCTCTAAATTGAAGAGATCACCCACAAAGTAGGAGAAAATATTTGCTAGCTATACATCAGACAAAGGACTTATAATCAGAATATACAGGGAACTCAAAAAACTAACCTCCCCAAAAAGTAATGAACCAATAAAGAAGTGTGCAACTGAACTAAACAGAGCTTTTTGAAGAACTTTCAAAGGAAGACGTCCAAATGGCTAAAAAACACATGGAAAAATGCTCACCATCTCTGGCCATAAAGGAACTGCAAATTAAATCCACACTAAGATTCCACTTCACTCCTGTTAGAACAGGTAGCATCAATAACACCACCACCAACAAATGTTGGTGAGGATGTGGGGAAAATGGAACCCTCATACACTGCTGGTGGGAATGTAAGCTAGCAACTACTTTGGAAAACAATATGGAGGCTTCTCATAAAACTAAACAT